CGCTGTCAGATTTACTTGGATGCCAATAAATTATCGTCTAACGGATCCAAGTGTCGCCGGTTGTTTTTCGGTGACCAATATACTCATGCGGAGTGCAGTTGTGAAGCGGGGAACAATAATCTACGACAAGGAAACAGTTTTTTAATGGTCAAAAAGTTGTAAAACATTTTGATAGAAGTAAGTCTCTTGCGTTGCGTAAGTAGAGCATTACTCTTATTAGTCATAGAATGAGGAGACAAGGCGAACTAAGAATCATTTACAGGTCTTACGGCAGGAGGTACTTAGTTCATCTTGATAGGGGTTAAATCAATTCATCTGTGAATAGGGTAGCAATCTTTAAATTATACCACCTACCCACTTACCATCTCATGTAACCGAAACCCGAGTCTACTGAAAAGTTACTTTCAAACCCACGGAAATAAATGAATATATAAATTTTGAATTATCCGAACTCTAAAAGATTGACCCTGGAACGCCTATTGCTTAAGCGACCTATTTTTTTTCAAATATGCAACTTCTAGTTTCGACAATAATTTTTTTTAACTCTTCAAGTAGACAGCGCTTGGCAAAACAAATTGCATACTTTAAAAAGTTTTATTTAAGCCAATAACGATCTGCCACACGTCAAAGCCCTTTTATCCTTCTCATTGTCCAGCATTCTCCGTTGTCATTGTTCTTTGTGAGGAGTCCGAGAGTGATACACGTCTTGATTGCGTGAGCTACCCACATTTTTGCGACGTAAACAGGTAACAAAAGTGTGACTACTCGACACTGACGTCATGAGTCACTTAAGGTCAACTATCTCCGTAACGTTGTTACAACGTATTTTTGTGATGCAACTTAGAGCTATGATTGTGAAATACGGCGAAGTACATAAAACCACAAAATTTCTTTCCAAAATCATAGCATAGATTGGCAAGAGCCAGTATCTCTTAGAGGGAATCGCATCGGCTGTGACATTCGACAGATATGGAAGCGAGGATTTTCTCTCCCTTCTTAAGACTTTGGAGGAAGTCTGACGACGAATGCTTACTGGAAAACGACGCAATTGTGCTTCAGCACGAGGAGCATTCCCTTGAAGTCGACGAGAAATGTTTTGTAGACACGAATGCCCACCACAAAATGGAGGAATCAAGCCGCACTAACACAGCCGACAGTACAGGTGATGAGTTCACTACAATTAACCTACAGGAAGATACGGCGCGTCCTCCATATTCAGTGACAGGTGAAGTTTCTGTAACAACAGAAGTTACATCACCAGCAGTAAAAAGGGTCGCCTTCTTAGGGATGACACTGTGTGTAATTTCGTCTTTGTTCATCTCTTCAGCGGCACTGTTGATCAAACTCGCCGAGAGCATTCCAAGCCTGGAGATCACCTTCATCCGTTTGACGTTACAACTCGTTTTCTCACTCCCACCAATGATTTTCTTCAAGGATAAGTTTATTCATCCATGGAGCAAGAGCAAATTCTTATTGCTTCGAGGAGTCACTGGAGTTACAGGCATGGCTCTAAGTATTTACGCTGTCAAACATATGCCATTGGCTGACCAGAGGGTTATATTTTACACCTCTCCTGTTTATACAGCTATCCTTGGACGCGTTTTTCTCAAAGAATCCGTCAGTAAGTTCGACGCGGTAGCCATTCTATCAACTATTGGTGGGGTTGTGTTAATCGCGAGGCCTACCTTTTTGTTCGGTTCTTTAGGGGAGGCCTCTAAATCCGAAAAAGTCTGGTTTCCAACCCTTCTCGCTGTCGTTTCAGCGATTTGTCATGCCTGCTCTATCGTCCTGACTCGGAAAATATCAAAAAAGTCGGTTCAAGAGTGGTAGTATTCTACGTCGCTGTAGTTGGAACAATCATAAGCCTTATAGCTTCTTTAATTTCGAATTTTGGGTTCAAATTCCCAGACTGTCGGACTCACGACGCACTGTATGTCCTTGGCGCCGGTGCATTAGGTTATGGAGGCCAATTACTGGTAACCAAAGCCTTGACTTTGGAAAAAGCTTCAATTATTTCCTTGGTGCGCACAACTGGGATCGCGTTTTCGTTCGTTCTCCAGCTCATTGTCCTTCATGTTGTTCCAGATGGCCTTAGTATTGGTGGTGCTATTCTTGTCCTTCTCTGTAATGTTTCTATTTTCATCAAGAAATTTTTAGACAAGAAAAATAGTCACGCAAAGGCTTCGAATAATACTTAAAGGTGACTCGTTCAAGGATCGAATAACCTTTATCTTATTATTTATTCACAAGTAGCGTGAAAATCATAACTCACATGAAGTATAGCCAGGTACGATTAGTCACTTCAGTGGCAAGAGAGAACAACAGCACGTGGAGAAAGAACACATCCGTCGGAACACATCAGAGGATACGGCAGTAAAAGGGAGACTTTAGGGAGAAACACACAATATTTTGGGTTTGCAAGTTGACAATAAGCATAAACAGGCCGTAGAGTCGGCTCAGAGAGCCGTTTCTTCAGAAGTACTTTTACTAGCATGCACATAAGTCATTAGTTTTATGACTGTTAAGGTAAAGTACTCCGTTAAGTTAGAGCGAAGCACTCAGCTACGCACGTCGTGACTCTTCGTACCTGGGCAAACTAAAAGTCATTAACATTATGATAAAATCAGTTGAAACAATTTAGAGTCAAGAAACATAATCTCTGTACTATGACTGTGGTTTATGATTTCAAAAGTTATATGAGGGGCATAGTTTAAATTAAAGCGGCCGAATTTTTAGCTTGAATTAGCTCTAGAAGAGTTTTTTCACTATGGACTGAGTTACGCCAACCAGCAGACTCAATGTATTCAAGAAAGACAAAAAAAAGCTTCTCCTCTCTTGAAATAAGAAGTAGATTAAGTTGGGAATAACATTCAGTTTATAAAATACTGGCGATGTGGAAAACGTAGAAATCATTGCATATCAGGGAACTTTCTTTCAATATAAATCACATGGGTTGAAAATTAAAGACATCGTGTACACAAAGGATTGAAAATTGTGATCTGCTCGATTTAACCGCGGGGAAAGATCAGCACTACCGGAATGGGTTGTCTAAACTGTATTCAAGCGGTGAAGTACTGATGAAGAGGAGTAATATGTTTGAATATTTTTTTTTAAAGAAACTCTGTTTGCCGAATAAAAGCGAACTTAATTGATTGAACCAGTGCAGTATTTGCCAGACTCTTTATAAAAATAAGATTCCGCGATAAAGTTGACTCAAGCCGTACACCCGCGAGATCCAAAGATCAAAGATTATGATCTCTTGGCGTTACATGAAAGACTAAGTCATCCTTTCTATCACGTTGGTATTCAGGGGTAGAATAAGAAGTTACAGAAATGAAGGAAGAAATTTCGACTAGCTTGCAATCTCCTTTGGTTTTTTTTTCTTTCGTGGCTAAAGGACAACGGTTAACCCGCTTTATCCACAGACTGCAAAAACTCTTTCCTCGTCTTCTGAGGGCTCTGAGCGTCTACGAATTAATGGTAAGGCCCGCCATCGTTTCCTTACGCACATTTTAACTCTCCTGTTGAAGGATGTTTGCCAGAAAGCTCTATTAAACGTTCACGAAAGCTCATTTTAGACTCTTTACTCTCTTTGTATGCTCAATGATCCCGTTTATTTGCTCGCGTTTCGTCTCATTTCTAAATGAGAATATTTCACATCACGCCAATACCACAGATCTATAGTATTTTTGGCATTGCGAGTAAATGTGGCGAGAACAATGTTTATCCGGCTCGCTTGCAAAAACTGTGGCCCTTGTTGGAAACCGTAGGATGCGTTAATTATTCTTAAAGTGATTGACATTTATGAGTGATTTCGTTTGTTTATGAATAACCAGACAAGCATGTATGCCGCACATGTTTTATCTCCCCATATATGGCACTGTTCTGCGTGCTTACAACGGGACTTGCGTTTCCTTCGAATAAACCGAGAGTTGACCGAAGCGTTGTAGTAAAATCGTCAAATCAAATGAATAAATCGTGAGTTAATAACGAAGCGTGGTACAGCCTTTTCACGTTTACGACACCCTCTTTCCTATAGACTTTGTATGCTTGAGGAGCAAGGCCTACCTTCCTCCGCTTGCGTTCACATGAGCCCTTTTGACTGATCAGTTTCTGTCGGGAAGGATTTTAGAAGAAGCCAAGTCCATAGTCGCCTACACTGAGTTGGCTATATGGAAAGAGACACTCATTTTTCATTGGCAACGTGAATATTTTTCCGGGTTTTATTTTATTGAACAGCTTTCTCTCCCAGTTTAGTCCTTGAGACTCAAACAAAAATCGGTGAATTAATATTGTAGTAATATTGTTAGGCCGTTAGAGATGGTGCTAGTAAAAGTAGCATATTATGCTATTAGCACTGCACGATTATTTTATGCTCAGAATTACGCTCGTTCTTGAAAATTTTGCTACTTTTTCTCAAAGTGTTCTTTTCAAAAGAGAAAAACAAAAAGTCCAAATTATGTAGTGTGTCTTTTGGTAATATAACATGATATCTATAAATTATCTCGGGGATACACGGAGCTCTAATAAAACACAACACACTCCTTCCATTTGCGGTTATACTGGGACCGACGTAATCTTTACTTCCGGTGTGCTCAGTCTTCTATAGCTGACGACAATACGTAATATTTTAGTAACCTGCTGCTCCCAAGACATCACATCATTGAAAATGGGCTGAACCATTGACCGAACTTAAAAATGATTAATCTTGCAGACCAAGTAAATCATTACTCTGGTAATATTCCCTTCAAAAAAACACATAAAATATGCTGATAATGCTAGAAGTGTCACTTTTACAAAAAAGTGCAAATATTATGTTCGTTTTTCCAAATGTTATGCCAAAAATTATGCCAGCATAATCAACAAGAGCCTAATTGCAGTGGGGAGGGGAGGTGAGGGGAGGGGGTCGGAAAGAACTGGAGAATGCTAACGAAATTGCGTGACGTTCTATCCAAGCCCCGGATGTTAAAAAGCACAGTCAACTGCAAGTCACCTGAGGCGAATGTTACATCATACAACAAGTGAAAATTATCGCAAGTTTCATCACCAAAATGTCCCTTGATTTTGCCTTGCCAGGGCTTTAATGCTGTGAAGTAAACCGAACTGTTTTCCGAATAATTAACTTACTCTTTAAGACATGACAGCGAGAATTTTTGCTCCAATCACTAACAGATTTCGAAGGAAGGCGGAAGGTCGCAAACGCCTGGTGGAAAACGACCTTGGCTTGCTTTTGCAGGAGGATTTCCTCCAGGAACCAATCGAAGACAATCACACTTTGCTGGAAGAAACAGAACAAACACTTGGAACAGGCCATAGGAATTCCCTTAGTTCAGACACGAGGGATAATCATGCTGTAAAACATCTCGAGGATTCAGATAGCGGCGGCTTCAAAATTACTACGAGAGAGAGGGCACCTGCAAAGAAAAGGCTGCGGGCTTTTGTCGGGATTATTTTAGCCCTGACGTCGGCTTTCTTTTTCACATTAGGTGCGTTGATGGTCAAGCTCGCCGAAAGCGTCTCAAGCGTACAGGTTTCTTTCATGCGTTTGACGATACAGTTAACTTGTATACTCCCAACAATGATTTTCTACAAGGACAACTTCATTTTTCCGTGGAGTAAAACCAAATTTTTAGTCCTCCGGGGAACGGTTGGAGTCACAACTATGACAATGAGTATTTACGCAATAAAGCACATGCCTCTTGCAGATGCTAGAGTGATATTTTACACATCACCTGTTCATACCGCTATCATTGCGCGGATCTTCCTCAAAGAGTCCGTTAGCAAGTTTGACGTGGCAGCTATGATACTGAGTATAGGAGGGGTGGTGCTGATCGCAAGGCCTACTTTTCTGTTCGGATCTCAGGGAGAACACTCTACCTCTATACAAGCGTGGATACCTACTCTTCTCGCTGTTTTGGCTGCACTTGGTGCTGCTGTTACTGCCACTGTTACAAGGAAAATGTCGCAAGAAGTGGGCATCAGGGTAGTGATATTTTACTTCTTTCTTATTGGATCAGTCTTGACGCTTGCTTTATCAATGGCTTTAGGATTTAAATATCCAGACTGTGGCTCATATGATACCATTTACATCATTGTGGCTGCATTTTGTGGATTTTGTGGACAGTTACTTGCAACAAAGGCTTTATCTATGGAAAAAGCATCAGTTGTTTCATTGGTGCGTACAATTGGAATTGCATACTCCTTTATTTTTCAAATAACTATCCTGGATGATGCTCCAAGTGGATTAAGTATTGGTGGAGCAATTCTTGTCTTGCTTTGTAATGTTTGTATTTTCTTAAAGAAATTTTTGGATGTAAAGAAGACCCATGCAGAAGTTCCTAAACAGGAGGAGGATACTGAACATCAGTAATCTCGCTAATCTCTCAATCATTTCTTGCCTGTCAGGCCTAGCCTGTGCACAGCCACCCCCTACCCTCCTGATTTTCTTTTGGAGGGTAGGGGGAGGCTGTACACAGCTAGTCTGGCCAGGGTAAAATAAATCTTTGGTTCACTCTTCAGGGGGGCAGCTCAAAGAGATGTAGGTGTGGGGCTTGAATTAATAGCCAGCCAATGGACAATGTCTAATCAGAATTGGGAATTAAGCAGGAAATGAAATCTTTGCATAATAATTGCTAGATGGGCTGTCTATCCAATTGTGCTTTTTAAAAATTACCATGAGCAAACTTTTTTACAATCTCAAAAAATATTTTCTTTGAAACAAGACTGAAATTCCGTACTGATGATTGTCACAACTTTCCCTGATAACATCAATTTCTTCTGCCAGAATGTGGCATGTTGGTGTCTGATAAGTCAAAGAACACCTGAGATTTTGGGTTCAAAAAAATTTCGTCGCAGAGGCAGTGCAGCAATTGTCAGCAAATAATTGATTTTACAGGATTAAACCAATGCAGTTTGTTGTTCCATCTTGCATTCCATGTTCTGAAATTGAGGCTACCTTCACTATGAATAGAAGAAAAACTATTAAACTGTAATTTTCATTGCAAACCCCACTGGAATATTGAGTTGGTCTTTTCAAAGAGGAAGCTTTTTAGCATATGTATGTAAGAAATAATGATTTATAATGATTAAAATTTGTATAGTGCAAATTGTATGGAAGCATGATCAAATGCACTTTTTACGGGAATTACAGATAAAAGTCCAATATGTACAAACAAGTAATTGATGTTGATAAAACTACAGAGAAAGACCTCATTAATAACAAATAAATATTTTACAACATTTGGATTCTAAACTAAGGAACTAACAGATTAAAAGCATTTTTAAGAAGGTAAAACTTAAGATATGTTTAAAAGAAGGTTAAGATTTAAGGCCAGTTCAGTATTTTAGCATCATGCAATCTGGGATCATTGTTGCAAGAGTTTAAAGTTGTCCAAATTTGACGTGCCAAATGGGGTCATGTCAGAGCAAACATAAGCATGTTGGATGGAATTACATAACCGGCCCTTGCTTCTTAATTATTTCAATCACTGCAAGTTGTTTGAGTCTCAATTCAACCTTGGTGGCTCATTCTGTGTGAGCTTATCTCAGTTTCCAAAGCATATAGTGAATTGTATCAACATCAAGTAACACCGTACAACTTTTTTTGAAACTTTATCATTCAATTATATATTTCTATAGCTTCAATTTTTTTATTGCATCTTGATTCAAATCACTGAGGCCTATTTTTTGGCCAATTATTGGGATATACATGAGATGAGTTATGGAAAATTGGTTTTAGAGTACCCTACTGGCAGAGGCCTATTTTCTACATGCTGCAAATAAGGAGAAAAGATCGTGAATGGGAAAAGTAAGCTTCCATGCCAGGTATGTAATTTTTATTGCTATTTTTTCATTGGCCGTCAATTGCTCACGTCACGCACCACTGTATTTTTTCTTTTAGTTTGTGTGCTGCGTGACGGCATTGCAAAACGGCTCCAAAGAAGTCTTTCGCAAGTTCCTCCGCACAGATGAGATGTGCGAGTTTAATAATTCTCAACACCTGTAACAAATTATATTTTAGCAATCAGTTTGTTGTTATATTCTCTTGTACCTTGAAAAAAGTTTTAAAACGCGAGCAGTTGCTACGTTGTGTCGATTGCGTTACATTTCTGTTCTACTTGTCAAAATTGACTGTTGTTATGACAACTGTAATTAACAAGATGTTGTAGTGAGTTGCTCTCTTGGTGAACAGGAATATGGAGCCTCTTGGTTGGGATGTCGGCTGTAAATGAGAGCTATCATATGCGCTCTTTTAAGATGGAGAACCATTTTCATGACGACAGTATTAATCTGAATGGTTTTTCTCAGTCTGTTGTGAAATTAAGTTACCTAAACAACAGCGAGATCGATTTTAATAATTCAGATAGCGATCGGTCGCTCCACTTACCACCGATTGTAAATCCTCCAGTTATTCCTCCAGTTATTCCTGTAAAATCCGAAATATCCATCGTCTGTATGAAGTGCGAAGAAGAAATTAAAGTCCGCCAACTAAAAGAACATCAAGAATTTCACAACGCTTTGGAAATGTTCCGATTCAACATGGAACGAAAACCTTCGAGTGTCAAACAATTAGTCAAACGACGGCGAGCAATTATGCGTCGACTCAACGAGACAGCTAACTCTGAAAATCCAGTTTCCATGAGGAAACTCCAGAAATTGAACCAGGCTTATGAGCTCCTCAAGGCTGATATCGAAGGAACAAAAACAGCTCTTCGAAACGAGGACGATCTTTTCCAAATCCAGCCTAGAACTGAAGGTTGGGGAACAGTCCTCAACTGTGCGCTAGCGTTCGGCATTTGTCAACATGCGAATTCGCGATGGAAAACGTCGATGGAAGATCGTTTCGCGTTTAAGGATATTTTCTGTAACGATCCTCAGAGCGGGTTCTTTGCTGTTTATGATGGTTATTCGGGAAGTATGGCTGCTGAAAAATGCGCGCGTTATTTGGGTGAAATCCTTGAGGAGAAAGTCGAAAGAATTTACAACACAAGCATGAAACACAAAAACGTCGACGCGGAAATCTCGGCCGCTTTTAACGATGCATACGAGGAGATGGACAAAATTTTGCTATACGGTGTAAAAGAACAATCAAGAAATCGCTGGAGTGGTTGTTCTGCTCTGACTTGCTTGCTGAGGGGAAATAATTTGTATGTGGCCAATGCCGGGAACATCCGAGCGGTTTTGTGCAGGGGGGATGGCTCGATAGAACGCTTATCCAACGATCACAGTCCCTGGGATAAAAAAGAGCGTCATCGCATAAGGAGAGCTAAAGGAGACGTAACTAAAAGCGATAAAACAGCCTTGGTTAATGGCGTGGTTAGAAGCACCCGAGGTCTCGGAAATCATGGAGATCCTATTCTGAAAACTAGCGTGATTAGAACACCAGTGGTCAATTGCCTTACTTTGGAGGACACCGACCAGTTTCTTATTCTTGCGTCAGATGGGGTTTGGCAAGTTTTCAGTGAGGAAGAGGTCATTCTTCTTATGGAGGATCTTATACCAGATATTGATGTAAGGGCCATTGTAAAGAGAATGCAAGAGAGAGCTTCTGCACTTGAGGTGGGACTGCCTGTCCCAAAGTGGAATGAAATTCCCAGACGTAACAAGGGCGCAGCAGATACTGAGGGAGACAGTGACTTGTCACTGATACAGACTACTGATCAAAGTTCACCAGAAAACATAGTAAGTGACGAAGAAAATGAGAATTCCATGGAGAGATTCCAAAAAATGGACATAGAAATGGATGAAAATAAAAACGCGACAAATACTACTGAGTCATTGCCTTCCCCCTCTGCCAGATCACGAACTGCAAAGGTCTTGCGAGAAGAGAAGGCTTCGGCGCTTGCCAAGGCCCTGAGTGAACGGCTGGTGGAAGGTTCTATCCTGGCTGGTAGCCATGACAATATCACTGTTGCAGTTGTTCTTTTGAGTGGATGTCCGCTTCAGATGTTTCTTTTGCCATCACTGTGATTAATACATTCGAAATTCTCATAGGGTCATCTCAACTTCATCATACAAATTCTGATACAGGTCTCTTAAGTTGGATCTAGAATTTGGTGTTGCACTTGGAAGTAATTCCAACATTTTGCTTTTGGGTCAAAATGAAACGAGTCAACTTGAATTTTCCAAATTTCGTCTGTCATGGGTACTTTCAAAGTATGATTTTTTATTTATTTCTTCCAAATGCCAATTTACAATATATGATTTTGATTGGGAAACAACAAAGCTAGCTACCTAAGGCGTATAACCTCTACTCAAAATATTATTGCTTTACAGAGTTTGAAATAAAGACATGATTCATGCACAGTGCTATACCAGATTTTTTTTTAGAGACTACCTGCAGTTTAACTAACAACAAACAAACAAACAAACAAGGAAAGTCAGCAGAGAAATTAACAGAAGTTTAGAATATTCTAAGTTGGTAATTCTTGTGCTGTGGTGCAATTAACCAATTTCATTAAAAAACTAGGAAGAAAAGAAGAGAGCCAATTATTCACCTTTTAAGCCTGAAGAGTGACCAGTATCTAATTTCTCCTCACAATATCATCCCTGAATCACATATTAAGAACCCAACAGTACAGGAAATGGTTACTTACTAAAGCAGCTTTTGATTGTTAAACAAATTCTTCTCGTCAGAATCTTAGAAAATGTATGAAGAAGAGTATGGAGAATATGCATATTGACATTAGGATGTAAAGGGTAACCCTTTAACTCCCAAGATCTCATCAGTAATTCTCCTTACTGTCTGCAAAACAGTTCTTGTGATGTTTGTTTGGAGAATTTGGTATTGGATCAATTTATAATCCCCTGACTGATATTTTTCTTTATTCTCATCACTTGTCTGCTTGATGTTGTAATGAGACTGTAAGGAGAAATTCTGTATTGGTCACTTATGGGAGTAAAAGGGTTAAATAAATTTTTAAATGGAAGGTGGAGAAGACAATGGATAACTTGGAGGGGAAAGGGTATCCCTTGTTACTCTGGCAAAATATTAATGTCTGAATATGTGAGACACCATCTAAAATGGGGCACCAAACATAAATGGGTGCCACAGAGACAACAAATTTGCAGGAATGTTCAGAACTTAAGTAGGTTCATGAGTGAAACCAAAGCCAACACTAGTAAGACTAAAATGACAAAATTTCTGAAAAATTGAAAAGCAGTGCATTTTTTTGGCTAGGGTTAAGATGGAAGAAGGTTATGGCATGTACTTTTCTGTTTTGGTAGGAAAGACTGTGTCACTGTCACTTCAAACAAATGTGCATTTTTTGGCTGATGTTCCATCTCATTACCATAGGAATTGCTTCAACATCAGTGGGCCAACTGGCACATATTTGAGATGTTAGAAAAGTATTGTGAATAGTGTTGTCTTCACTGTTGAACAGGTCTTGCTTAAAAAGCTCTCGGTGTTCAACCAAGCATGAGCAACTTTAGATACAACACCAAATGTTGAGCAATAGGCCATCTTACAGTTGTGTTCTTAGTTGCCAAGCCTTTGATCTGGAGTGAGGCTGAAGTTGACCATGTTGTGATAGAGACCAGTGTCTAGTTAGCATAATAACAAGGCAATGTACATTTGAAAAGCAGCAAGGTTTGTATCATA